CTTTATTTATACTAATTATTTCCCGCCCCATCTCTTACTAAATATTTCCCTAGAATATATCTGCATTTAATATAAATATCTCTATATTTAATGTAAATATCCCCCGTATATTATCCTAGCATATATCCTTAATTATAAATATCTTATATTGAACATTTCCTAGGATATATGTATATATATATATATATATATATATATATATATATATATTTACTCTAATTAACTTATACTGAATATTCTCTCATATTGTGGCTCCTTTTACTGTAATTAGCTCTCGCCCCCCCTAACCGCTACGCAGTTAAGATGGTGATTCTTCAACTGTTTGGCTCAGGTCCTTCCCTGCATCCCACCGTTCGGCCTGGTCGCTCCCTGTCTCCCACCGTTTGGCCTGGTTGCTCCCTGCCTCCCACCGTTCGGCCTGGTTGCTCCCTGTCTCCCACCGTTCGGTCTAGTCGTCCCCGTTGTCACCGTTCGGTCTGACAATTCCCCCTTGTCCACTGTTCGGCCTTTACGATCAATATCGTTTGGCCTCACTTCCCTCCTACCTTTCTTCTCCTTCTCATTTCCTCCCAACCCTTATCATTACCTCCCACCTTATACCCTAACATTACACCCCACTGCAAAACAACCTTGTCCTCAAGGTTGGAATTGGGGAGCTTGATCTCATGGCTCCACATCAATTCATGTCTGGAGGCTCGGGTGATGGCCATCCCTCCTCGTCTTCGGCCAATATCGTGACTCTCAAGCTCCTGTCCGGACAGTGGTGAGCAGGACTGAACAGACCGCCGCATCTAAAGCACCTTCCTTCTTCCCTCCGTTTCACATATTCCTCATAGGGCAGATTCCTCAGGTTTCTTTCCTTTCGTACGGAACCCACACTCTCCGTGATTGCTGCTCGGCTCTCCACAACAGTTACCGTCCGGCTCTGGTTAGGGCAACTGCGCTCCAATCGCGTATCCGAACCGTTCGGTGTCTCAGATTGATTCTTGATCATACTTCCGCTCCCAGTCTTCACGCCCCCTTGGACGTCCTCCACGTCCCTCGCCATCCTCATAGCTATCATCAACTCTCATGGATAAAGCAATCACACTTGCTTTCAAATTCCATCCTGTAAACCTACCATGAAGTATCCCGTCAGCTGTGCTTTGGCCACTCCTTTTGTCTGTCCCACCAGAATGTCAAATTCCTGGATGTATTCCTCCACCGAGCCTGTCTGCATAATGGCCGCCAGTCTCTCAAAGACTGGTCCCTGACTGCTACCTTCGAACCGTACCACTATTGCCTCCTTCAGTCCCGTCCATGTTCGGTTGTCGGTTTGCTCCCTCTAGAATCTAAACCAGAATCCTGCACTACCCTCCATGCTGATGTACGCCAGACACAACTTTTCCTCCTCAGACACCCCTTTTAACTCGAAGAATTTATCCGCTCTATTGATCCAGTTCAGTGGATCACTCCCTTCGAAAACGGGTAACTCTACCCTTCTTCTCCAATTCAAAGGTTCCTCCTGGTGTTCAACGCCGTTTGGTCCATTGCCCCTCTCACTGTTCGATCCACCTTCTTCCCCACTGTTCGATCCTTCATCCTTCTCGCCCTCCTCTTTGTTGACTTTCCCATTGACAGACCCCTGACTTCCGTCTGACTTCCCATCTAGGTGATGGGTTCGTCCTGTCATCATTCTCATCAGCTCTTGCAAATTCTTGCAGATTGCTTCCATCTTCGTCTCCATGACGCCTATGTACACCTGCATGCTTTCCTGATTTAACCCGACGTGCTCCAGTTTGACTTTGACTACACTAATCCTCCCCTCCATCACGTTTCTCACTCTGCTATGTCGCTCCGGCTGGCCTCACACTCTCCTCCTTCGATCCGACAATTCCCTCCGTTGACGTTCTGGCAGGTCGGACCAATTGTTACGTATCTGAGTAGGAGACGTAACGAAATCACCCTCTCACACACTCACAACAAGCAATATAATAATAAAAGAATGGAATTGAACGAATGAATCTCTTTTATTGATGGTAATATCTGGGTAAACACAGGTAAACAATAACTGAGAGCATAACCTCCTTCAGTCAACCAATAATTGGGAGCATAACCTCCGTCAATTATCCTGGAGCATAACCTCCTTTATAAAACTCAATAATCAAAAGCATACCCTTAACCCTAGACTCTACCTTTATTTANGCAGCATATATTTTAATAATTTTATGTTTTACAGCAGCATATATTTTAATAATTTTATGTTTTACAGCAACATATATTTTAATAATTTTATGTTTTACAGCACTGTACCATTTTACAACACTGCACCATTCATTTTACTCTTTTTAAAAATAAAGTGTTGCACACTGCACTGTTAAAAAAATTGTGCTGCCACTATTTAAAGCTCTTTGACATTTTATTTTATATGTTTGTAATGAAGAAGCTTATCTCATTATATCGGGAAGATGATGACATTATTAGAAGATTAGAGGATTAAGTATAGAGACTTTGACATTTCAATTTATGTTTTACATTGAACAATATTTTTATGAACTTATGTATTTGAATTTATATAATTTTATTATCTTATTTGAATTAGGATGTTATTTATATTTTTTTTCATGCAAAGTAAACTTTACGAGTTTACGATTTGAGTTTACTGAACTCTCATGAGTTTACATAAACTCTTGAGTTTGACAACATTGTTGCCTACCATTCGGAAACAAATAGACAAACAAAAGTTCTCAATAGGATCCTAGAGACGTTCTTAAGATGCTTTAGTTCAGAACAACTTAAAAGTTGGATTTGTGTTCTTCCATGGGCAAAATATTGGTATAACACCAGCTATCAAGGATCAGCTAAGTGCACTCCCTTTGAGGTGGTGTGTGGGAGAGACCTACAATCCCTATCTCGGTTTGTGCCAGGAGAAACCGCAGTGGAAGCAGTGGCACAAGAGTTGCAGAACAGGGACGAGGCCCTTAAATAACTAAGATACCATTTAGAGAGGGCACAATATCAAATGGTTAAATTTGCCAACAGGAAAAGGAGGCCAACAACGATCAAGGAGGTGGACTGGGTATACTTGAAGATCAGACCAATAGGCAAGCATCCATGGCTACTAGATTGCACCCAAAGTTGTCTCCCAGGTATTATGGACTGTTCCAAGTGACCAAGCAGGTTGGGCTAGTGACGTTGTTATGTATCCGAGTAGGAGACGTAACGAAATCACCCTCTCACACACTCACAACAAGCAATATAATCATAAAAGAATGGAATTGAACGAATGAATCTCTTTTATTGATGGTAATATATGGGTAAACACATTTAAACAATAACTGGGAGCATAACCTCCTTCAGTCAACCAATAATTCAGTCAACCAATAATTGGGAGCATAACCTCCGTCAATTATCCTGGAGCATAACCTCCTTTATAAAACTCAATAATCAAAAGCATACCCTTAACCCTAGACTCTACCTTTATTTATACTAATTATTTCCCACCCCATCTCTTACTAAATATTTCCCTAGAATATATCTGCATTTAATATAAATATCTCTATATTTAATGTAAATATCCCCCCTAATATTATCGTAGCATATATCCTTAATTACAAATATCTTATATTGAATATTTCCTAGGATATATATATTTATTTACTCTAATTAAATTATACTGAATATTCGCTCATATTGTGGCTCCTTTTACTGTAATTAGCGCTAGCCCCCCTAACCGCTGCCCAGTTAAGATGGTGATTCTTCAACTGTTCGGCTCAGGTCCTTCCCTGCTTCCCACCGTTCGGCCTGGTCGCTCCCTGCCTCACACCGTTCGGCCCAGTTGCTCCTTGCCTCCCACCGTACAGCCTGGTCGCTCCCTGCCTCCAACCGTTCGGCCTGGTCGCTCCCTACCTCCCACTGTTTGGCCTGGTTGCTCCCTGCCTCCCACCGTTTGGCCTGGTCGCTTCCTGACTCCCACCGTTCATCCTAGTCGCCCCCGTTGTCATCGTTCGGTCTGAGAATTCCCCCTTGTCCACCGTCCGGCCTTTACGGTCAATACCGTTCGGCTTCACTTCCCTCCTACCTTTCTTCTCCTTCTCATTACCTCCCACCTTATACCCTAACAAACGTTCAGGGTACAATTGCCAGATACAACCAGGACATACCCTGTTTTGCATGTGTCACAACTTAAATTGGCAGTGGGGATCCAACAAGTAGAAAGAGAGCTACTGGAGGATCTACAAGGTGGAGGGCTAGTCTCTTGACCCCTCAAAGTGCTGGATAGAAGAACAAAGCCGCACGTGCTCATTGAATGGCAAGAAGGAGGATTGAAAGCTGCAACTTGGGAGGATGAGGTGACAATGAGGGAGCAATTCCCAGATTTCCACCTTGAAGACAAGGTTGTTCAAAGGCCAATGAGTAATGATAGGACTTAGAGAGTTTATGAAAGAAGGAAAGGAGTTAAAAATAAGACAAAGACATTAGGGGGGTTTTAGGAGCCGTTAGGAGGTTGGTTGTTGTCTTAGGGGTTAGTTTTGAAAGGGGAATGGAGTGTCTTGGGACAAACATGTTTTGTTGTATCTTAGGGATAGGACCATTGCATCCCGTGTGAAGGGAGAAGGCTCCCTTGGAAGTGTACGAGCTGTATTCTTTGTTACCAAGAATAATAATACAGACTGTTCTATGTTTCTTTGTGTCAGAGAGAGTGTGTTAGGTGTCTTCTGGTGTGAGTTTTGGGTTTCTTGTTCCAAGAAACCTATTATTATTTTTAGTTGAATAGAGTATACCTTTCTTAGTTTCTCTTGTGCGTAATCTTCACAAATTGATTCCTTGTTTTCTTTCAAATGTGCTATAAATCTCTTTTTTCTCTTACTCCATGTAACAAATGATATTGATGAATTTGTATATTTGAATCTAAATAACAACATTATTTCTTGTTTTGACGCAAAGGAATTAATTAGTGTTTGTATTTACAGGTGTTATTATATAAAACTAATGATGCTTTTTTATTTTTTTATTTATAGGAATCAAGTAGATTTTTGTATGATGAAAATGGTTATGTTCATATGAGAAAACTTCAAAAGATGTTGAGGAGGAGGCAACAACATATGGTATCTCAAATTTCAATGCTGTATCCTATGAAGATCTTGGTTGGGCCAGCACAAGAGCAAGAGCTTGAGGCTTATCCTTCAAGTAACCTGGCAGGTAAGGGTTCTCAATAGTCTTTTTTCATATGTGTATAGTCCCCCTAAGGTGAAAAAATGGCTAAGGTCATTAAAAAAAAAGAAATTTTCAATTTAAATAACTATTGAAATTCGAGGTGCTAGTGTTGATGTAGTTGGCTCTAGAAAGGGGGGATTGAACAGAGTCTAGACTCTTTTTGCACGAAATAATTGAAATACTTCAATAGCAAACAAATCAAGCTAAAAATAGATTTTATAGCAGTTCACCTAAACTCATGGAATATATCTAGTTCTCCTCAAGCATCCTGCTTAAAAGGTTCCACTAATCTAGTAAAATTGATTATAAAATAAGTACACAAACCTCTCAAGGTTATAAGTATAAACCTCTCTAGGAAATGAGTTTCAACCTCTAGGTAATACGAGTATCAACCTCCCCAAGTGAGTACAATCTTTCCAGATAACCTTCTTAATCTCACCTTGAGGTCAAGAATTCTCAATAGAATAAAGGGAATTATTACTCTCAAAGAAAAAGAGTACGAATAGAACTCACAAGGCTAAACTTCACAATGTGAAGAATATTACAATGGTTTATCACTCCCTTTTTCACAATCGAACCTATGATGATTGATGTTGTACATTTAGTCTTTTCGTATTACTTTCACTATGTAATTTCATTTGACAATAATCTCTCGTTCTTTTGTTATATGTTTTTCTTCTCTCTGTTGATCATCCTGTCATCCATTTTATAGCTATTAAAAAGATGATCGTTGGAGTTTTGTTGATTCTGAGAGATTTGATTCTTCATCAGCATCTTCATAAGGAAGGTTTTGATAATCTTTTTAAGTTGATCTTCAAATCTTCGCTTGAAGTTTTTTTACCATCAAATATATTCTTTGAAGCTTTAATCCCTTTCTTCCTTCGAATCAGAGAGAACTTGATTTAGAAACCTTTGATTTTATTCTCTCCAATGTTCAGAAATTCTCTGCCAAAGGCAAATTATGAAATTTATAATGTAATATCTCATCAGCAACAATATCAAATATTGTCTTCAATCATTATCAATGTTGTTAAAATTGCAATTAAGATCACGAACTCACACCATCCTGTGAGTATGGCCCCCAAAGCGAGATGACGCAGAGGTCAGATCGGAAGTTGACTTCTGAGGTTTGTTGGATCGTTGGCCGTGTCGATTTTCCTAGTGCGTTGTGTCCATCTTTCTGGTGCTATTATGTTAGGGTTTGACATCCCTGTTATATTAAGAAAGAGTGACCCGGTCCATGTTTTATTAAGAAAGTGACCCGGTCCACTTTTATTAAAAAACAGACCTGGTAGATGTTAGAAAATCAATGTTGGGTGTGGTTTCCGTGTTGCAACAAAATTTGATTAAAAAATAAATATCTAGAGAATTTGAAGGGGATGGTTGTTGGGTGATTCAGAATATGGTAGAAAAAGACCACGTGAAGAACAGAGTGAGGAGTCATCAAGTGTTTTCGAGAAAACTACTATCAATTCCATTTTAAAAAAAGTGAGATGGAGGATGCGAGTCAAGAAATTGCTTTATTTTTCTACAACAATTATGTTCCATTTAATGTAGTAGCTAAGAGTGAAGAGTTTAGGAGGATGCTTGAGTTGATCGCCAAACATGGGACCGGATTTAAGCCACCATCCTACCATGAGATTAGGATGAAATATTTGAAGCAGCAGGTTGAAAAGACCAATCTGATATTGGAAGAACATAAACTATTTTGGAAAAAAAATGGATGCACAATAATGACAGATGGATGGACTGATAGGAGGAGAAGGACTATACTTAATTTCTTTGTTAATAGTCCAAAGGGGACTGTCTTTTTGAAGTCTATTGATGCATGACGACTACAAAAATTTATAAGATGATGGATGATGTTGTTGAGGAGGTTGTGGAAGAGAATGTGATCCAAATTGTAACTGATAATGCAATAAATTACAAGGCAACTGGAGAATTGTTAATGCAAAAGAGACAAAAGTTATATATTGGAACATTGTGCAGCCCATTGTGTTGATTTGATGTTGGAAAATTTTAAGAAAATTCCACTCCATGATACAATAGCCAATGGTAAGAAAATCACAACCTACGTCTATTCAAGAACAAGTCTTATTTCCTTATTGCACAAATTTACTAATGGGATAAATTTGATAAGACCGGCCAATACTCATTTTTTCAATTCTTATTTGACTTTGGGATGCTTGAATGAAAATAAAGGGTCATGGATTAGGATGTTCACATCAAAGGAGTGGCAATCTAGTCAATTGATAAAGACTAGAGATTGAGGGTTTGTTGAAATTTGATATTGGATAAGGAATTTTGGAAAAATATTTTGAATTGCCTAGGGGCGCTCTTCCCCTCATTAAGGTGTTGCGCATGGTGGATTCAGATGAAAACCCAGCTATACTCCCCTTTCACAAATAATCGATCATAGCTGGGACAACCAATTATATAGGCCACATTGCATGTTGTTCGCTATTACCTAAATCCCATGTTGCACTATGATGCTGAGTTTAAAGTTGATAATGAAGTGAAACATGGAATGTATGATTGTTTGGATAGGTTGGAGGGGAGACGTTGATGAGATCACTAAAGGAGGGGGCCAAGCTCATCTTGCTACTGGTCCTGAAAGTCAAGGATCTGTCCAACTCAACCATGAGGAGTTAGAAAGAGTAAGGTCCTTTCTTAGTACATTGGAAAATCCCACATGTAAGTGTTCATTGACATACACTGGTAAGTTCCCATATTCTTGTGGATTTAATGTCTCAAATACCCCATTTACCCATTATTGGATACTAGACTTTGGAGCCACAGACCATATGACACCATTCCCCATGTTGCAGCAACAAGAAAATTTCTATAGCTGATGGAATCCTCATAACTGCAGCTGGACAAGGAGATGTCCAAATAACCCCAACCATAATACTAAAAAATGTTCTTCATGTTCCTAAATTATCCACAAGTATGATATTTTTACAAAAACTTACATAGGACCTCTTATGTAATGTAGTTTTTCATAGCAACTCTTGTATATTGCAGGACAAGAAGTTAGGGAGGACGATTGGACATGCTAGATAATGGAATGGCCATTACTACATGGAAGATTTGAGTCTGCCCATTGAGATTCACTCTCTAATATCTAAATCCTCAATGGCCTACAAAGAAAAAATCCAATTGTTTCATTGTCGTTTGGGACGTCATTCATTTCGGGTCATAAAGTTAATATTTCCTTCCTTGTTTAAAAATTTAAATATGGAAGATCTTCGTTGTGAGGTGTGTGAGCTTGCCAAACACAAGTGTGTAATCTGAGGTCAACTCTATTTTTCTATTGTTTGTTTGAATGATTAAAAATCAATTTGGGTTTAATATAAAAATAATTAGGTCTAATAATGTTAAAGATTACTTCAATCATACTCTAAATTCTTTTTGTCAAAAGGAAGGAATAATCCATGAATCCTCATGTGTAAAAACACCCTAACAAAATGGGATTGCAGAAAGGAAAAATGGGCCCTTATGTTACGTATCTGAGTCGGAGACGTAATTAAACACGATCACAATAGGTAGAAAAGACAATGAACGAATGATAACAGACGAATGAATCTCTTTTATTGATGGTAATATTTGAATAAACAAAAGTAAACAATATTTGGGAGCATAACCTCCTTCAATTACTTTAGAGCATAACCTCCCTCACAGGACGCATAGCCGCCTGTCAACAAAACTCAATAATCAAAAGCATACCTTTAACCCTAGACTCTTCCTCTATTTATACTAATTATTTCCTAAATAAAATATTTCCCTAGAATAAAATCTTTCCCTATAATAAAATATGAATATAAAATATTTCCCTAAGATATATTCTTATTTACTATAATTATTTCTAAATATTTCTCGCCTATCCTAACTGTTGTCCCAGTTAGAATAGTCACTCTTCAACCGATCGGGTCCAGCTCCCGTTCGGCTTTTGCTTCTCCTGCATCCTACCGCTCGACTCCAGTTCTTCACCGCCTTCCACCGTTCGGCCTGACCTTTCCATGCTTTCCACCGTTCGGCCTGACCTTTCCATGCCTTCCACCGTTCGGCTTGACCTCTCCCCGCCTTCCACCGTTCGGCTTGCTTCCCCTTGCCTCCTACCGTTTGGCGCCCCCTGTCTCCTACCGTTCGGCTCCAGCTCTTCATCACCTTCCACCGTTCGGCTAGACCTCTCCACACCTTCCACCATTCGGTCACCGTTCGGCCTTTACGGTCAATACCGTTCGGCCTCACTTCCCTCCTACCTTCGTTCTCTGTCTCATATGCTTTCCAAACCTTATTATTACCCCCTACCTTATACCGTAACAACTTCTTTTTCAAAATAATGTTCCAAAAAGATTTTGGGGGAAGCTATTCTCAGTGCTACTTGATTAATAGATTACCTTTGATAGGAGGCTGAGAGTCTATGAGAGGAGAAGGAAGAGTTAATAGAGTTAGTTACTCTAACTGTCTTAACAGTTAGAAAAGGCGCGGGATAAACTTGTATATAAAGGAAGTAGTTATCTGTTGAAGAGGACTTTTGATTACTTACATTCTTTGTACAGGAAACATTATTCCTGTGGGGGAGGTTAGGCTCCCATAGCTACCTTGTACATGACTTTCTTACTGTGAATAAGAAGAGTGGATGTTATTCAGGTTCAGTCGAGTGTTAGTGCGTTTCAATCCTTAGGTTTCATTGATTGGAAACCTAACAATTTGGTCCGACCTGTCGGATTCCAGATTTGGGGGAGGGTGACGCTCCGAGAAATGGAGAGTGCAACTGAGGCGAGATTGGAAGCGATTGAGATAACGATGGAAGGGATGAAGGCGGAATCGGTAGCGGTAAGGCGGGACTTACAACAAATCATGAAGATGTTGGGGAAACAAGGCGATCAGGCGGAAGGGAGCTCCAATGATAGTTCCGTGAATGACAACCGACAAAGAGTCGAGAGGGAGATCGGAG